CCCACTTTTCACAAAAACAAACCTGTGTGTGTGTGTGTGTGTGTGTGTGTGTGTAACAACACTGGTAAATATTTGGACCAGATCTTGGATATTTGCATGTCAAGTATTAAAAGGCTGCACTACAATCAGGTATTATGTTTAAATATTTAAAATCAGGTGATATTTAACACACTCTGCATGGTTACCAACTCTAATAATTAATGCATAATTAGTGTAAACTAATAATTTAATTATTCAAGTTGTGATTAATGAGATTGAGTAACCTCGCTGAATATCTTTGAATTGCAATTCAATACATTCCTCTTCCTGTCATTCTAATTCAACATCCTGCACACCGTGGCCAATTCAATTCAATTCTCAATGTTTGATTTGAATAGGAGCCAATTCTTACATTCTGAACTTTCCAAAACCAGCAGAGATCGTACAAACCACTTGAGCTGAAGAGAAAAAAAAAGATGGAAAAGATGCTGGAAAGCATAACACAAGAATAAAGAAGGCTCTGATCTATCAATAGATCAACAATTAAGATGATTTTTAAACTTGATTGCACAGATGTTCTTCTAACATACCATTCGTACAGCATGTAAAATGAGCGGAGGGCAGATTAATTCTGTCATATGCTGTATACCTTTACTATAATTACATCTGAGTCGTTTTACTTGAACCCGAGTACTCTGAGCTCTTTTAGCTTTAGAGATCCTTCACTACTACAGCATCAGCGAGCTGTAATTACAGCTGCTGACATGCTGGCATGACTCATACTCTTCCTTACAGCTAATCAGATGCGACTGGTAATGAACCTATAGATGCGACGCATAATCGACAGTGCATTTCGGCCCGGAGTTAAAAGGGCCGGCAAGAATGATTAATTACTGCAAGCAGAAGAAGGGAGGAAAGCTTGTTTCAGGAAGGTTCCCGTTCAGCTTGATCACCTCGGGCCAAATGAGATCTGGCAGAGAGGAGCAGAGGGTCATGGGAGGATCCTCCTCTCCTGTCTGATTTAGAGCTCCAGCGAAGCTCCCCGGACACCGAATCCCCTCCCATCGCCGCGCTCAGGCTGACGGAAAAATCCTGTAAATGTCACCATGATTTACTGAATATTTCATTTCCCATTTCCTCTTTGTTGCCTTGTTTTCTGGTTTTATGGCCAGTGCACATCCTTGAGCTTCTCCCGTTCTCTTCTGCAGTCGAGGCAGGTGTGCAATAAGTTCAGAGCGGAATCAGATCGCATTTGCTTTGAAGTCTTTAGGCCTTGTACTGCACCTAATTTCATTGTTCAAAGGAGGTCTAGAAAAAATATGAGGAAAAACAACAGGAAATGCGGTTCAAAAAATCCAGGCGTATTTAGTAATAACAATGAATATTTGAGCAAGATATTTATGGCCAATCACTGCGAGTGTAATAAGCTATATTTAATTACTTCAGCGTTTATGTAATTGGAATTCAAACTCAATTTGCAGCCAGTTTGTAAAGTTTCACATTACTGTACGTACTTTTTATTGCAAGTATAATACTTGTACATTTTCATTGCTATATAACAATGTCTTTAAGTGTTTTACCGTGAGGGAAAACAATGCAACCAGTTATTATGGCTCTTTAAATTAGCTACAGCATAATATTGCAAATGTAAATATAATAAGCATATTTGTACATATGTAATAGGTTTCATTTGCATGGAGCATGGAGTCATTATGATTGTATTGTCTGTAGGTACTCTATTGACCTCAAAATAGCAAATGATTTGTCTTTTGAAAGGAAACATTGCCTCAGTAAATTATATCTCTTTAAATTACAGCATAATATTGCAAATGTAAATATAATAAGCATATTTGTACATATGTAATAGGTTTCATTTGCATGGAGCATGGAGTCATTATGATTGTATTGTCTGTAGGTACTCTATTGACCTCAAAATAGCAAGCAAA